CCCTCCCTCTCTGCCCCTTACTCTGTGACCCTGCCCTTTTCCAGATTTTGTCTGTCTGGGTGTTGTTGTCTTTCTGTCTTCCCCCTCCTCCCTCCTTCTTACCTCTCCCCCTCTGCCCCTCCCCGCTAGGCGCTAACCCTCCCCTTCCCGTCCATGCTCTACCACCGGTGATTTCATCCGCTGTGGCTTCGGTTACCATCGAATATGACTGACTTCCACATCTCCAGTCCAGATCACCTTTTTGAGCCCTAAACTAATATATGCCATCATTCTCTTGACATTTCTGTGCGACGTCTGATGCACACATCAACCCTGACATGTCCAAACGTGAGTCCGCGACTTTTCCCTCATGCTGACCCCCTCTTTTCCTCCATCTGATCAAACTGCATTAACAGTGACCTGCTTGTTGCTCAGGCCACAAGCTGAGGGCCATTACTGGATCTTTCTATCCTTTACCCCTGACCCCTAACATTACTAAGTCCAAATGACTCTGCCTCCGATGTATTTTTTTGGAATTGTTTGCCTCTTCCCACCTCCACTGCTAACAACTTGGTCCAAATGACCATCACCTCCTGCCGGGACAAATACAACAGTCTCCTTGCTAGTCTCCCAGCTCCATTCTTGCCTCCCTAAAATCCATTTTCCACCCAGCACCAGAAAAAGCTTGCTGAAATACATAGCTGAATATAGCATTCTTCTGCTTTAAACCTTCCCAAAGATTCCTTTGCCTTTAGAATCAAAATCAAACACCATAAAATAACCTGAAGTACAAGACCCCCCCCCACATAATCTGGCCCCTGCCAAGCACCCCAAGTTCCCATGCCTTTCCTTCTGTTTATATTCCAGCCACCCCACCTTCCTTGGGTTCCTCCAAAGTCCTGGTCACATTCTGCTGAACTCGTCCCACTGGCTCTCCTCATTCCTCCACCTTTGCAGGCCTTGCTCCTCCATGTCATCCAGGTCCCAGCTCAAATGTTTAAGGACCCTCAAGGAGACTCAGTCTAAAGTCGCCTTTCCCCCACACCTAAGTCATATGACTATTTTCATCATGCTTATCACTATCTGAAATTATATGGAAAATTTGTTTACTTATTTATGTGTTTCCATCCACTGGCATATAGACCCCCTGAATTCATAAAGCTTGTCTGTTTTTCTTCAGCTTTGTGTCCCTCAGTGACAACCATGCCTGGCATTAATAGGTGCTCAATAAAATGGGTCAAATGAAAATGACTCTCCATCAATCCCGCTGCCCTGATGCAGGCATAGAATGATGGAGAACTGGATTCAGCAGATCCAATACTGTCTATACCACGTATTAGACGTGTCTTTTAGCAAGTTATCTGACCCTCAGTTTCTTCATCTGAAATATGTAGATAACAAAAGCATCTACTCTAAGGGGCTGTACAGAGCTGCTGTATGCATTAAATGAGAAGAAAGACCTAAACACTTAGCACTGTAACTGGCATATAGTAAGTGCTTAATAAATTGTACCTAGCTGGTATATATCTATATAAATTACTCTCTCTCTCTCTCTCATACACACACACACACACACGCCACATGCGCACACACATTTGGGTGTTCACCTTCATTTGGTTTAATGGATCTACTGTCCTGTCTTTGAAACCTCAACTTGTGTGTTCTTATCAATATCGTATCTCAAGAGGAGAATCTGAGTCCTTAACATCCTCTGCTCAGTTCCTAGCCCCCCACCCCAGCACGGTTATGAGCTTTTATAAACCTCTTTAAATGATTTACCTGAAAATATAAATTATTTCCCTCCAGTATCATACAGCGGTTTCAAGCAGCCTACATTCCATCTACTTCCTCAGAGGTCTGTCTGTGAACAGTAAATACACACAGGTCTATATAAGTATCGCACATGTTGAAAGACGTAGAGTAAAATCACCTTTGGACTTACCATAAAAAAATCCTTTGAGCCCAGGTTAAAGAAGCAACCCCCATTACAGCAAGATACGCCCCTTTTACAACACACAATGGCAGGGACAATTCAATCTTTGTCATTTATTACTTTTATTTGGACAACATATATACATATGTACAAAATACCTACTGTCAGAATCCTCTTTTATAATTTCATTTGATTTACAAAAACGGGACAGCAAAATAACTTAGGTCACTAATACTGTACAAAAATAAAACTGATTAAACAGTTGTAAAGATCAGTATCTTACAGTGTTACAGATCATTCACCTGTTGTGAAAGAACATCTCAATCTATCCAGAGTGATGAGCGCTGTGCTAAATCTACCTGCAAACTGACAACTAATCAATTTCTGTAATATGGCTACCAAATATAATTCTCAAAAGAAGCATGATGTAGAGCTAGACCTTAAAGCCAGGGCATCATTCCATAGTGGTGAAGGGCTTTCTTCTTCCCTAACCAAGGAGAGGAGTTATCTTAACTCTAAAACTATTAAATTTTCCAGAATATGACAACTACTTACAGTATTAGATAAAACAACTTTTCTTTCTTTTTAAACACCTGCAATAGTCTTTCAAAAAATTCAGTTTGGTTAAAAAAGTAAACAAAAATTACTATCCTGCATTTGGATTTTTATAAGTTAAATCCATGGTCTTTTTAATATAAAAAGTAATTGCTTCATAGTTTTAGTGTTCAATGAACTCTAGTAGTCCTATTTGAACCATATCTTGATAGAGTAAATCTAATTAGAATGCTGGTTCCTGTTCTGTGACATTTTAAAACAGGATTTATCACGAAGAATAAAAAGCCTTGAGTTTATACGTTACGTTACTATAACATATAAGAGAATATCAAATGTGTGTTCTTCAACAACTTGAAAAGGCAAGTAACAACTTTTTTTGGGAAGTAAATTGTGCATTGTTTTTTTTTTAAACAAGTTGCTGCATTTATATCCATCTAAGCAAGTGCTGAACAAAAGCCACATATAGATTTACTCCTGAAACTACAAAGATTGTCTTTCACTGACTTTGCTTGGTTTTCCTTCATTTCTTTCTGTGAGGGGAAGATGAGTTTGTCCAAGTTAGTGGGTTGCTAGGCAACCCCAAACTCCTCACTCACTAAAAGGCAGCGTGCAGAGGATCACAAGCAGGACCGTTCCATGAGCTCAGTAAGAAATAGACAGCCTAACCTATTTCGTATGGAAGAACAGATGTCCTTAAAACTTATTTTGGACACAGAAATTAAAATTTGGTTTAAAATAAGCGTTTCAAAAATCTGAAACAGAGGTAGAAAGTGTTCTTTATTTTTCCTGACATGTTTTCCCGTGAGAAAACACTTTCCTTTTTATCTCAATGGACTGTTCCCAGTCCCTAATGTTAAAAGCAGTTCTCTTTATAGAACTACTAATACAACTACGTTGGTTAAACAAACAAAAAAAAAAAACACCGTGCTAGTGATGGCTATTGTATTGGAAGTCGGAGTCAGCCATGCCCCACGCCTGCTGTAGGAGCTCACAACTGGTTCTGAACCTGGCAACGAGCATGTGTCAGGTGAAGTAACGAGTTCACTGACGGGGAGGCACCCTAAGTTTACCCGACACAGCTTACAGCACATGTATAAACAAGAGTGCACCATAGCTCCCTGTTTTAAATAGCAGATAAAATTGCCAGAAAGCATTATTTCTGACAAAAGAAAATGTAAACATTTCTCCCACGATCACTGCTGACTCCCTTTACTTGAGGTTTCTTCTTCGCTATGAAAACAGTTCACTTTTTTCTGACCGCGTGAAGGCCAAAATTAAGTTTTCAGGTAAATGGCATTTTATGGATGTAGTGGTTTAGGCCACTGTAGACACCTGGATACAAGATATATAGTGGTGAGGCTTCTGATGTCAAAGATACAGTGATGTGTCTTCATTCACATGCATTCTGTGTGCCTTCGTTCTCCAAAAGGGACAATTTCGAAGTCACCTTGGAAATCATCATGGTATTTTCCCTTGGGACTCACTACTTAACAAGGGATACATTTTTCTTTTCACATGTCAGCTTCCTTTTCCTTTTTGCATAACTCTTGCACCTGTTAGTGGGAGTTTGTAGGAACACGGGAAGGAGACCAACACACTTTTTCTTCACAAAGTCGGTGTTTCCAGAGAAGTCACTGTTACGCACCCATTCAAATAAAACCCAACAGAGTCAAAACCCTCTCCCTTCGTGGCATTAGAACAGTAAGGTGATGTTAACTAAAAGGATCGGAAAATTTGGAAAAGTTAATAGAGTTAAAATTCTGTTTGTTCTTTTTGAATTTTTTTAAAAAAATACTACCCTCCTTCTCCTTCAGCATCTGTCATATATATTCTGCCCTCTCATCTTTGCCATGATTTCATAGGGAAAAGTGTATACTATAAAAAAAAAAAAAGCAGATTATAACGTGGTTCCAAACAGAATGTCTGCTTCTATCCTTAAAGCACATAGTTAACTTATTCATCCTCTGCATTAGGAAATAAAAAGTGCAGCTTATGTTCAAAAAGTACAATTCATACAAAGCAAGGTTTAAAAGTTCTGTACTTAGTGTAACCTTTTAGAGGTTTGTCTTGATTAGTATAAATTCAGACTGCTTACCCATTGACTATAAGTAACTTTTTTTGTTTTCAAGTCTTTAGATGACAGATCATGCTGGAGTAGATGTGCTCTTGCTTGCATAAAGACAGCTGTGCTATGGCGTGTTTTTTGTCGGTTTTTGTGTTTTTGTGTTTTTTTGTTCTTTTTTTTTTATCTCAAAGGTTGACGTTGTTCAAGAGAGTGGTTTTGCTAAAGAAACCGAAGCACACTCGTCATTTACACCCAAAAGGTAAGAAAACAATTCTGAGAGACAGCAAGCAGAAAGGGCCCCGAATCACCGTGTGACGCCACAGGTCCGCTCACCGGGTCAGACGTATGTACACCAGTGTTGAAATCTTTAAAATTCTACGCGCCCCGCCCCCCGCCGCCGCCGCCTTGGCCTTGCCCCCCTCCCCCCCCCCCCCCCCCCCCCCCCCCCCAAAAAATAAAGGAGAGAGAGAGAGAGAGAAGAAGAAAGCATTCGCCTTCCCTCCAACAGTCAGAGACGGTTCCGAGCTGCCTCTGCAAGGGGACCAAGTGTGGACTTTGATCTCAGGCTACGATGTGCTTTTTAGAAAACGCTGCGGGGAGAGGAACGCGGCGGCGGCCGGAGGGCAGGGACCCGCGGGCCCGCGGCGCGCCCCCTGGCGGCCGGCCGCGTCCCCGGGCGCCGGGAGCAGTTCGGTCCGGCGGGCGCGGCCGGCCCCTCACAAGGGGTGGGCCAGCGCCTTTTTCGAGCGCTTGATCATACTGGGGTGGAACTCGGTGTGGCGCCGGGCGTGCTTGGTGAGGTGGTCGCTCCTCATGAAGCGCTTCTCGCACAGCGGGCAGCGGAACTGCTTCTCGCCCGTGTGCGTCCGGTAGTGGCGCGTCAGCTCGTCCGAGCGCGAGAACTTTTTAAGGCAGTCTGGCCACGTGCAGGGGAAGGGCCGCTCACCTGCGGGGAGGGGGTCGAGACAGGACGCGGGTGAGACAGCAGGGTCGCAGAACGCGCCAACCATCCCCGGGACGCGCACGACACGGCCCCGCCGGCGAGGCCCGTGGGCTGAGGGCGTGTCCCCCCCCAGCACCCCCGCATCCCTGGGCTGGCATCCTGACCCCCCCGGGACCTCAAGACGGGACTGCATGTGGGGACAGAGTGTTCACAGAGGACACCGAGGGAGGTCTCGGAGGGAACCAGCGCTGCGGACTCCTTCCTCCTGGACTCTAGCCTCCCACGCCGAGAAACACATTTCGGTCCCCCCACCTCCCCCCCCTGCCCCCAGACTGGCACCTAACAGACTAATAGATACCATGAGGAAGTTTCCCAGAATCATGTTCTCCAAGCAAAAGAACTTGCTCTTTTAGGCCCAGTGGATCCCCGAGAGCCTTTGGCAATTATTTTCCCGGGGGGGGGGGGGGAGGGGGTGGTTATTTTACATGGTGGCTGGTTGCACAGGTTCTCCCAGAGAGTCAGGAACCTCGGCCCTTTGCCGGATTTGCTGGCACCGCAGGACTGAGGCAGCGAGTCCAACCGACCTCTCACCTGGAGCAGGTGTTTCCCCTCGAGCTCCTGGGTGCTGTGGCCACCGAGCCTCTGTCAGGGCCGGTCCGGTGACAGGGAGGCTGGCACCCGACAAGAAAGCCTGCTTGTTCCTGAGCATCTTGGTAACAAACACTTTTAGAGACATGGAATGTGCTTCCCTGTTGAAGGCCATATTTTAAGTCATATTGTCTTCATTTTTATTATTACTATTATTATTCTTAATCTCTATGCCCAACATGGGGCTCAAACCCCGAGATCAACAGTCCCATCCTTTTCCAACTTAGCCAGTCAGGTGCCCCCAGTCATAGTAAATATATGTTTGTTCACTAAAAATATGTTTGTTACTAAAAAATGTTTGTTCCCTCTGCCACATAATAATCCTTTACATATCTGAAGAGAGCTATCCGGTCTTTCTCTAGTCTCTGTTCACACTAAGCAGTCCCAGCCTCTTCCATTTGTCTCATAAAAGTATGAACATGATTCTCAAATAGTAAGAGCTAAGGGCTTCACATGCACTATCTGACCGGTTTCTCACAGGACGGCCCATGGAGGTGGCCCATTTCACAGATGAGGAAACAGGCTTAGCACTTCCTGGTGTTTCCAGCAGTCCCTCCTTTGCCGTCACTCTCGGACTCAGCATATTGTCTCCATGTCCCCCTTCATTAAAATGCAGCTAAGCCTCACCCTCCAGATGTGATCAGGTTAGCACTGGGGGCCTCCTGGCCCCTGCCGGGGCGGGAGAGCACCTGTGGCCATGTTTGCTGGACCCACACACAAGCTGAAAGGCACCATGAGCTGTTCTAAGATGAGAGAGTCTTGGGTGCCCCTCTTGTGAGCGACTGCCTGCCTACTTCCCACCTCATTCAAGCACAGCCCAAGGCAGCTGCTACACCGACCCAGGGCACACAGCTCCTGCCTTCCACAGAACTCTCCAGACACCCCTTTGGTAGGTGTGAGGAGTGCATATTTTCTCACTCCCGTCCCCACCTTCCTGGAACCCAGAGACTCAAAAGGCTGAGGGCTGTCCAGTGTGGCGCATCTGAGTCATCCAAATATTATTCATCCTTTCCCCCCGGCTTCTCCTACACTGTGCCAGAGATGTAGAAATGCTGATAATAACAACAAAACCAAGCCTGTGTCATCTCCATGACAGTCCACACATGGCTAAGGTTTTATCTGCTATTCTCTCAGCAGAGTAATGGTCATCACGCCCTGAACAGTCCCCTCCTGAGATGAGGACAGTATCATGTCTGATTTTTGTGCTACTTATATTGCCAAGCATTTAGTAAATGCCTAAGTGTGTGTGTGTGTGTGTGTGTGTGTGTGTGTGTGTACAGCTGAGGTCACTCACATGACCAAAGCCTGCTCGGAAGTTCCCAGATCACTGGGGAAGAAAACTCTGCCTCTTCCAGAATTACACTGCAGCCGAGGTCCTCTTGATCCCAGTGAAAGGTTTGTGGGAGAAATGTTCTCTTAAACATGGGATGTTAAAAAAATGTAATGAAGGGTTAGAATTCATACAGCAATGAATTATAAAACCAAACCAAACCAAAGCAAGCCAAACAGAACAACCCTCACTGCTCTCTCCGTACTGGAGCCGTCTCTCCACGGCTTTGTGATTTGGTGGTAAGAAAAGCGACGAAAAGGAAAGGCTCAGTGTTTTCTTGGTGCTTGTCAGGACTAAAACTCATCAGAGGGATTTTTCTTGGAGGAGTGGTAATGTGGTTTAGCTTACTCACTGGCACATGTTTCTTTCAAGTGAGTCACGAGAGGAGGTTAATTTATTGGAATGGATCTGTGTCCACTGTGGGAAAAATGGATCAGAAGACCACTCTGCCATGCTCTGGATTGGAAAAAGAAAGAAGGCACTCCCTCTGTTTTAGGAAGATGCCTTTATGGAAGGGATAGTCAGTGGAAAATGAGCACGAAGCCTAAATCAGCTGTGCGTACAGAACTATTAAGTATTTATGCTTATGATTTATGTATGTTTCAAGTGAAATCAGGGCCCCTTCCCAGTGAATTCACCTTCAGTCTAGCTTATGGCTACCTTGTCTTCACTGCTTCTCATGCCTGTCACCATGTGATTGTTCTCTTGCTTCTAACCCAGATGCTGCCACTGACGTCTCATCTTTATCCCTGTTTCAGAGAAGAGCGGGCCACCTACTGAGCCCAGAGCAAATCCGAGCCAACAGCAGCCTTTGTTAGACTCATATAACTTGTATAATTCCACCTTACAGTTCCTAAGCATTTAAAAAAAGATCTCCTTGGAAGTGAATTCTTAGTGTAGAAGCTCCAGGATCATGTTCATTCTTCCTGGATCCTTTGGAAAAACATTAGGAGCTTTGAGTCAGTGATTTAAATCAGGGGTTTAGCAAACTACAGCCCACAGGCCAAATCTGACCTGCCATCTATTTTTGTAAAGTCCGTGAGCTAAAAATGGTATAAACACCATTCTTACTTTGGTTTTTACCAAATAGTTGGGGGGAGAAAGTTGGCCGACCCATGATCTCACCCTGAAGATTTGAACTTGTACCTGTGTACACCAGAGTTTGCAAATCCAGATGGCTTCAGGAGCCAGACATATAGTGAAAATGGGTGAAATGCCAGGTGCATTTGATCATGGGTTGTAATGGAGTCATGGCCAACTGGATACTGCTTTGCTCCCTCAGGGGCATTCAGATTCAACACCTTATAAAGCATTGTGCCAGCCAAACAATGTGTGTGTGCAGGAAGCCTGGATTCTTCTAGGGGACTTAGAATTTGTAGCCCTTTGAGACCACCCACCTCCTTAACCCAGTGAAGAGTCTGCATACAACCTACTTTGGGATACATTTCGGCATGTTCGTTAATAGTAGACACATAATAAGGTATCATCTAAAAAATGATACATGTTTTGTACCTAAGAAAGTACGGAATGGAGAAATCCTATGTAGAGAAGGAACACAATTTGAGGCTGAATGGGACCAGAGATCATGGGCAGAGGAGGAAAAGAGGGGTCTTGGAGAATCTGTGGCTGGCCCTTCATCCTACAGCCAAGGGGAAACCAAGTCAGGCCTTTCAGCTCAGGCAGGGCTAAGGCCCACAAAAGAACAGTTAACCTTCTTCACACCGAACAAATCATAAGGCACAGCAACTATCAATTAAAGAATCTTTAAACTTGTCTTTAGTATTAATGAGAGAGTTACCGTCCTCCAGGGGAGGGGGGCGGGGGAAGAACAGGCATGTACTCGTGTTTTATTTCTGGCCTTTACAGGAAAACATACCCAGAGGCAGTGACACAATAAACTCTTGCTTTACTGGAGCAGAGCTGTTAACGGCACAAGTTCCTCTGCGTTCTCCTTATTTATATACCACTCCCCTCCCCTTTCGGCAACAAGCTAAGCACCTCTCGCTGACAGCCTCGGCTTCCAGTATAAAATAAACTGGATCAAAACGGCTACTGAATACCGCACCTGGTGTGTAAGAGACTTTCTTTGCAGAGACAGGTCAGGCCTCCAGAAGTCTCCTGGGCCTCCAAGGGGTTCAAGAGGAGTGGAGTAGAGCCTGCAGGCTATGCGCTTGCCTACTTAGTACGAAGGACAGCTCATTGCTTTCAAGAAGGCGCCTCCACTCTACTTGGTGATTAGCCCACAACGCCAAGTGGTGAGTTCTCCATACAGAGGGAGAAAGAGGGCAGTGTGGGCATTGCCAACTGGTGACACTCAACCTTAACCTTGTCCAAGCTTCCTTGAGCTCAGACAGACTGTCATTGAGATACTGGCCGAGGGTCTGGGAGACCTATGGTCTCAACACACCTGCTTTCCCACCTGGCTTTTCTCCCCTTCCCTTCCACAGTTCCATGGAAGAGCCTAAAATGGGCTAACCTTAATCAAGGCAGGAAGGTTAAAAATACAAACTCTGAACCTCCCATGGCTTCCAGCAAAAGTAACTCCAGCTCGTAAAACAGATCTAAGGGCGTGAGGCCTCCTTTGCAGAACAGAACTCCAAAAATGCCAATTAGGAATCACAGCTTCCTGCAGATGGACAAAATCAGGGCCGCTTCTTGAGGATAAAATAGTGGGTTCTGATTGTAAAAAACCCACTAGGATTCCCGAGATAAAAGGATAATCTGATATTAGAAAATCATACTGATATGATTCCCCCTTTTAACAGACTAATATACCCACCACCCCACACACATTTTCCCTTGAAAAATGCAAAATAGTGTTTGATAAAACTCAACATCCAGCCCTAATAAAAGCTTGTAGGAAAACAGAAGAAAAATTCCTTAACAGGCTAGAAAAATATAGATCTGAAACCTTTCCCCAGCAAGGTCAATAGTAAAATAAAGGTAGCATTCTATTAAAGTCAAGTGAGTGGACACTGTCCCCATCGCTACTGCTACTTAATGTTGTTCAGGAAATGCTAGTGAG